TGTTTTTGGAGCATGGCCTGGAGTTTTATGAGTTTACATCATCTGGGAGTGGACCCATTAAATTTTTAAGGCATTGAAATTAATGAAAGCAGACAGGTGACAGAGTGACAGCACCAGACAGATTCAGTGGCCACAGGCAAGGCAGWGCAAGCCTTAGCTTTATTTGGGGGGAAAGTGCCTCCAAATACATCTGGTACTGGGAGGTTAAACACACAGGCAGATTTGCTGGGAGTTGAAAACAGGAGAAAAATTTGGCCTGAGGAGAAAAACAACTTGCAGTGTTTTCCTCTGGTGACATTGGCAAGCCTTCACCACCACAWTAGCCCTGAATGCTTCCTGCACGTTCCCACAGCATTTGGCACTCCAAGCGAGAAGGTTGGGAGGGATGGGAGATCCCTGCAGTTGATCCCACCAGCTGTGGTTCACAACTCTCTGCATGACAAAGCTCACCCTGAGCATCCCAGAAGCCATGTGTGCATTATATCATGAGTCTGAAATAACCCATTTAYTGCCTTTCAGTCACTGCAGCTCGTTTTTGATGCCCAGCACAGTCGGTGTCCCCAGGATCTCACTGATGAAAGGAGACAGGGGAGCACCACTGCTCCTTCACCTGYTTCCCCTCCTCACTCCCAGGGCTGGGRAGCCAAATGATGGCTGTCACAAGCCCACCGTCCCCCACAGCTCACCCAGAGGGGTATGGCCTCCCTCAGAGTGCAGAAACCCCAAGTTCTTCATTAACCAGCTCTCCACACCCACTGCCGTGCCACAGCCATTTCATTTCTGCCACAGAGGACACTGACCCCGGTGACAATGAAGGGAGGGCTGAATTCCTTTCCCAGTCTGGCTCTCTGTTTTGACAAGTGATTCTTTTCACAAATCCCAGACAGGGTATCCTTTCAGAGGCAGTTGTAAAGCTGGATTTAACACACATCACAGAGAACACACGAAAGCTCTCGTACGTTCCACAGCACCGGGGCTTTCATCGGCGGCTCTGTGAACGTGCTGACCAGCAGCTGACCTTGCCTCCTGCTGCAGAGACAGCCAYTGAAGGATGGGACACACTCTGCCACCATCAGTATTCCCCATTTCACTCCACACCCTGCATCTGCTTCCTCCCAAGCTGCTGATGGGTCCCACCAGAACCTACAATAGCTCCTCACCAGGGCCACATGATGCAATTGGTGTCAGAACACACAAGATACAGCCCTGGTGTCCTCGGTTCCTGCAGCACCAGTTACTCGTTCTCTTGGTGAAGCCTTTCCCAGTGTGAACAGGGTGGCTGCAGCCCTATGAGGACAAGGGAAAGCAAGGAAAACAGAGCAAAGTCACCCCGAGGACTCTGTGCTGGTCAGGGTGGACTGATCTGCATGGAGAGTTTTCCCCATCACAGGCGTTAAACAAGTCCTTCCACATTAGGTCCACCTACACCTAAAACAGCCCCACTAATCTGACTTTGCCTAAGCCTTTCAGGTGGTGTTTCTCTTTACCTGAGAGCTATCAGGAAGTTTCTAAAGTAACTAAAAATCCGTTTTCCGTTTTTGACCGATTTCCCAAGGGCCACTCCAGCTCAGCTGCAGCTCTGTACCAAACCCTCTGCCCTCCTCCTCAACTGCACACAACTCTACGCCCTCACACGAAACATTTGTGAAACCTGAGAGACAGGTCCCAGGCAATAGATATCCCATTAATAAATACCTTTCAAAAAGGCCCACCTGGAATTTGGGCAGTTGAGCAACATCAGGTGAACAGAGGGAGCCCTGCCCCAGCCCGTGTTCCCCTACAGGYTTTCCTTCAGGGTGACTGACCATGCTTTGGATTTTTCAGCAGAGGGAGCTTCTCACAAGCAGTTTGAGCACCACCTCCCTCCAGCCCTCAGAAACGCTCCCGTTTCAAGCAGCACCAGCTTTGCACCAATCCAGCATGCAGGAAAACCGAAGACAGGTRACTCCTCACCCCTGGGTTTAAGCAGGCTTATGGTCTTACCAAAATTCTTTATTGGTTTTCATAACTATTCCTATTGAATGCCTGTCCTTTCACTATCCTGGTACTGCTCAGCAGCAGCTCTGTGGCAGTCAGTACCAGGTCTATGAGAGCTTGTGGGGAAAAAAGGGCTTTTTAATGCTTTTTCAATGCCTTCCTTTGGTGCACTGAAGGCCTCTTGATATTTTTCTTACAGAGACAGAAGTCCTCAGCCTACTTTTGTGCGCAGCTCAAACACTCTGTATGTTATGATCATGTATTGTGGCCAGCAGGATCAGRGCAGTGATTATCCCCTTGTGCTCCGTGCTGATGGAGCCACATCCCAAATCCTGTGGCCATTTCTAAGCCCCTCAAGACAAGAAAGATAATTCAGAGAAGGGCAACAGAGCTGGGAAAAGGTCTGGAGCAAAGGCCTGAGACTGAGGGAGCTGCAGGGGCGATGGCCTTGGTAGTGCTGGAAGAACAGTTGGACTTGATYTCAGAGGGTTTTCCAATCTAAACAATTCTATAATTCTATGACTTTGCAGCCCTTTTCCCTGTCTCCTTGGACAAGCAGCTGCATCTTTTGCCCAAAAGCCTTTGCGTGGTTGCCACCAAGCCCTGCTGGGTAAGGAACAGAGCTCTGTGTGGGGCTGGCAGGGCCATATGGGATGAGCTTTCCCCAAGAGGATGGGCAGCTCCAGCACAGTCAGTGGCAGATCCCTGCTCTGCTCCCAGCACAAGCGTGAGTGGGGTGAACTCCACCGGGGAGCTGATCCAGGCAGAAAAAAAAAAAAAAAAACCTGATTTTAAAAAAATGTTTAATTCTTCAGTCAGATCAGTTCTCCAACCTGTTTAACTGAGTGACAGCAGAAGCACTTGTACTGCACAGCATGCCCAGAACAGCACGAGTGGGCGGATGGGATGGCAGGAGAGGRAGGGAGGGAGGAGAGGAAGGGAAAAGGACTGCTTTTTTAAGAAGCACTAACAGCTTAAACACACTTAAAATGRTAATTTAATTGAAGAAACCAGGGATTTGAATCTCACCAAGATACCAAGGGAACCTTAGCTCTTCCAACCAGATTTGTAGATGATGTTTTCCTAAGCCTACCTAGATTGYTGGATGATGTTTTGCTCAAATAACTAGAATTGAAAACCAACAGCATTTCTAACATCTATCTTCCCTTCCCTCATCCCCTGCTCATTCCTGTGTTCTCTGTGCTTGGCATCAGTAGGTACATGAACAATTTGACCACCATGTGAATGGTGTTTCACTCCTCTGCTTTAAAGCATTTTTACATCACACTCTTTGAGCTCACCTACCCCCTTCTTGTTG